AGCTCATCTTGCTTCTTCTTGGTCTTTGGAAAGACAAAAATGACAAAAAATTGCATAAAATATGTGTTTGGCTTGCAGGCACAAGGATATTTGACTGTGGCTTTCAAAACTTTAAATACATTTTAAGTGTCCATTTGACACATATATAATTGAATTACATTGTCATGACAAGGCAATTTAGAGAACAGTTCCAAAGAACTTCCAATTCTTTGGAAGAGGTGTGAGTTTCTTTTAAGGGGAATTACCTCCAACTGCAAAGTAAAGGAGACACAGATTTCTGAACCCCACCCACTGCAATGCCTGCTTCTTTTGATTTTGGAGAGAGGGAGAGGATAAGTGTCTGACCAGCTTCTTTGTAGTCTTTGTAGTTCTGAGACCAGAAATAGTGGAGATAAAACAGAACACCTTTTTTTTTTTTTTTTTTTTATTGGATATATTTAGGTTCTCCAGCTTCTCTCAAAAGATTTTACTTTCAAAGTGCATGAATAGCTTTCCCTGCTGTGCTCTTAAACACGAGAACTTCCAGAACTGGAAAGACAGTCAGTACTTCCCTCAGAACAGATGAGATTTCGGATCTTCCTGTGTGGCATCCCTAGCTGATTCTAGGTCAAAGGTCTGGGGAGAGCTGAGAAACTAAAAGAGGGTGAAGTAAAAGATGTGTCTTGTTCCCCAACTGGCTAAATTCTCTTCTTGCTCTGTTCCAGCCCAAGGTTCTTACACCTCTGGCAATGAAGCCATACAGTGAATGAACCAATAACCAATCCAGATCAGGCCCATTGTGCTTCCAGAGAACTGGCAGTGTCTGTACTTCTCCTTTCCTTAGAAGCCAGTTCCCCTAGAGCTAACTGTCATTTGAACCAGAACAAAAAACAATTCGGGGGAAACAGGTCTTAAAACTACCAGGTGGTTATTCCTAATACTTGCTTTCCTATGGATTCTGGCAAGTCTCTGCATCTTATAGATTTCTCAGGTTAGAGTTCTCTGTTTCATCCTCTTCCAAGTACATGTGGTAAATGGCCTTTGAATCCAGCTCAGGCTTCTGATTTGCCTTTCTGTAAGATAAGTCACTTTGCAGCTGCTGGCGTTAATTCGATCAGTTAACCAATAGCGTCAAAAAATTACATGCCAAATCTGTGAGTAAAGGAATGGGCATGAGAGCTTCAGTTTTGTCTAGTCCATGATGAAAACCTCCCCAGCATTAATGCTTTTTGATGTAAAACAATCTGATGTGGTATGTATAAGTACAGTTACAGTGTCCAGTAAAAAATTTGTTGGAATCTCTCTTCTGCATATTCAATCTTTTTTTCCAGCTCATCAAATTACATGACTGGGGGAAAGGGAGCCATAACAACAGGAAATCATCAACAGTGGTGTAATAAAGGAGTTTGGGCTTGTTTCCTTTCCTGTACTTTGGAATACAAGTGTCATTTAGTTCCTAAACAGAAACCAAGTGGTGTTTATCTGCTGCATTATTTTACTCTGCTACCTGGCTCTCAGGGAAATGGGTGAACAGCAGAAGAGAAATGAAACACTTTCTGTATCATATACCTTCAGTAACGTCATAACTCCTGTGTGGAAGACCTGTTGCTCTGAGTTAAAAAAGGATCATGCTACTTTCAGAGTGACTCATGGTCCAATCTGTTCCTTTCTGCAGAGAAACAGCTTACAGAGCTCTGGCTCATCACAGTATAAAGCACTGTATCCTCCTACTGATATAGAATATGCTTAATTTTAAGACTCTTCCTCATTTCTATGCAATTAACCAGTCAATGCTTCTCTTCCCATCTCCTCACTTAGGCTCTGGAGGTCAGCAAGTCCTTCACCTTCAGCAGAAGGACTAAGCAGGGTCCAAAGGGGACATAAATATGAAAAGCTTCCAGTGGGACTTGCAAGGCAAGGCATTTTGGATGTCCATCTCTGGAACAAACTGCTGATCAAAGCCCTAAAGCCTCCAATGTGGTGTTGTGTTGCATGAGACATATGGGGGTGTGCTTTCAATGCTGACAGCTCTGCTTATCAGTTCTTGCAGACTTGGAGCATGCTCCTCCTGCTGCACTTACACTGAAGCTTATGTTCATGCAACGTGATACAGAAAATTAGAAATCAAGCACCTGCTGACCTACATGTCACTGGTTGTCTGTGTGGGGTGTACTCTTCATCCTGCATCCTGCCACCTTCTCCTGACAAATCCGCAGGGACATGTGGCAAGAAATGACACCTTTGGCTGTAATGAGAAAAATCCCTCAAATATAGAATTGGACCCATCAGCCTCTGTTTGCCTGCCCTTCAGTGGGACTGCCTAATGTGGCTCTGACCCGCCTGTCAAGGAGAAGAAACTGGACCACTGCATCACTTAACAAAAGCAAAGATATGCACTAGTATATCTAGTGTAAAGAGATAGCAGTGCTTTGCAGAAATCCTTTCTGACTGCAACCCTGATCTAAGAAACTCATCCAAATAAAGAGGTTTTGCACTAAAGAAATATTAACAGAGTTGGCAACAGGGAGAAACATCAGAGAACTTTAAGCTGCCTGTGTTTTGGATTGTGTGTGTTGGTAGTTATGGAACAAGCCAGCCAGATCACTAGTACATCCACACACGATGAACAGCCTTGTTTGCCACTAGGCAGGGTACAGTTTTGCTCTTTCACCCAAGAAATTTAAACTGGCATCAAGAATTAGGTAAGAACTGCTCTGCAGTGCAACAGAGTCAACTTGAGACTGGACAAAAAGTCTCTCTAAAGAAGACACAGCTGCTTTTCTCCAACACTGCATACCATTAGGTGGCTATGTGTTAGGAGATATGGGGTGCTGTGTGTGTTCTGCTCTCTAAATATCTATTTTTTCAACCCAGCAGACCATTCAGGCAGCCAGCTTCCCAGCCATGGATGGATGGAGCTTGGTTACAGACACAAGCCAGTAGCTCTTACATGTCCTTTCTTTGCAGGGATAGGTTTTTTCTCTGGTAGCAGGGGATCAAGGAGTTGTGCCTTCAAACATTTAGCTGCTGACAGCAGCCACATGGTATGCTATCTGAAATGGATGGCAGATACAGAAGGGAGAGGCAATCAGCAGGGAATTTTCTCTGTGAGAGAGCAGGGCCAGTGGGACAGCTGTGGGCAAAGGTGAGTTGTGCCTCACTGTGGCAGCTGGGACACATGGCCTGGATCTTAGTCAAGGGAAGAGAGATAACTTCTAGCTACTAGCCTCCCTCTAAACACACTTCTCTGACCATGACTAGTGCAAACCATGTCCAGTCAGGCAGATATTGACCTTCCAGGGAGCTTTGTCTGACCACCTCATGCACCCAGAAATGCTATGTTCAAAAGGTTTCTTCTGGGAAGTGACATTTGCAACCTAAATGGAAGGCAAAAGAATGAACAGAAGCCTTTTGAACAGCTTAATGAATACAACTGCCATCCACATGAAAAATATTCTTCCCTTTTGAGATTTTTTTTTGTTTTGCTGATACTGGGAAAATAAAGGCTTGAGCACATCCTAGAAGGGAAAACCAGGTTAGAGCAGCGCTCCATACCCTATGATTCCGGGTAAGTTTGTCCCTTAAAGAAAGATTTTATCAGTGTTTTACAAGCCTAGCAAAGCCAATGCATTTAGAAGTGTAAGGAAATGTCACACAAAGGGAAACTAATTAATGTCAAAACCTACCAAGATGGTATGTGTCACGGGACCTACATGCCATTTGGGCAGATTCTTTTTCTTGTGCACACTCTGTTTCCTTGGCCAATACCAATGATATGTGGAATGGCAGAATAATTTACATATATGTTAATTTATCTCTTTTGCCTATTTTTTCTCCAACTGCTATTTAAAAACATGTATTAGTTTTGCCCACAGTCTGAGCTGCTTTCCTCTGTGATTTTTTGTCACATCTCCTGCTAGACAGCCAGAGGAGCATGGATGTTCTGTGTTAGAAAGGTCAGCGTTCAGACACCTGAGGGGCATCTGGGTCACAGAGACAATATATTTTCTCAGCAGACAGTATGGGATCTGCAGAAATTTTTTCTGTTTTTTCGTCACCAGGTGGTGCTCCAGCACTGGGCTAGTGCTACCTTGGTCACTTGCTGAAGCACCAGGTTCTCCTGAAGCTTTGGGCTGCCTGCTCTCCTGCAAGATCAATTTCATTATTCTGCTTTGCAATTCTGTTTTCCCCTGTCTTGGGCCTTTCTTCAGCAAGGGTGAGTGAACCCTCCACCTGCTTCTCACTAGCAGTTTTCTCACTGAGTTTGCTACTGCATAGGATTTGTCCAAAAAAGTTGGTGCATGGCTGTAACCTCTTGTATTGTTCCCACAACAGGCATTGTAGTTGGATCTGGCCATACCTCAGACCTCTTCTGTTCACCAGATCTTTTTAAAGAGCATGGTGCACTTCTATCATGATTAGTTCCTTCTTCAGTAAAGATACCAAAGCCTTTTCCTGGCCTGGAGTTTTGTTTTAGCACCAGCTAGACTGAAGACCAATCAGGTGGACAACATATTTGACACGAGTGGAGTGACTTCCCTCAGGAAGTTTGTTCCCACGTGAAGAGGTTGAACTTGGAAGGGAATCAGGCATTCCCCACACAGCACACAAGCTGCTGTGATCCCACTGAGGTGGACAAAGTCTTCAGGAATGCTGGGGCCAGGAATCCTAGTGCTGGGGAGCAAAATGTCAGGTTGTACATCTACAGAGTGGTATGTTCCAAATAAGTAATCTCCTGAGAAAAAAGAAACGTCAAAGCTACAGCCTGTAAAGCCAGAACCTCTAGGGGTGCCACCAAGATGCTTCTGAGGCTCCAGAAGAAATCTTGGTAGGCTACCAAGACACACTGGCTTGCTGAGAGCACACTGAATGGAGCCTGCTTCAGCCATGCTGCAGCTGAAGCTTCTCACCTCACACTTGAGAACAATAGAAATTCGCTCCACCCAGTTTGGGAACAATAAAGTCATTTCCACAGACCACACCTGCTCAGTACAAGGGAAATCTGCCCGGCAAATACTCACAGCAGTGGGAGCAGCACGGTCACAGAGAGGTTTGGGAAATCTGCCTTTTGAAGCTCAAATATTTTTGTAAATAGTCCATCATCATCCAAGCTTCATGGATTTGGTTTTGTCCACATCTAGTGATAAAACCAGAGCATAATATAAGGAGCTTTTCAACCTAATTACTCCTAAATTTCAAAATATGCAACTTTGTGCATGTCCACATTGCAATGACATCATGATGTTATAGAGCTTTAGGGGAAAAGGAAAGAGCAATGTTCCTTCCCTTCAGAAGGCCAGTGTCCTGGTCATGTATGGTGTCATAAAGTGGTTTGTATCCTTGGATTGCATTAGAATAAGCAGAGATTTGAAATCCACCCTCCCAAACTAAGTGTTGAACGCCTCAGACACTTGCTTTGCCACTGAGCCAGGAATTCCACCTCAGGACTAAGACATCAATAGAAGTTTTGGTGAACAACAGGAAACTCGTCAGAAAGAAGTTTTGGTAAAAATATGCTAGTTTTTAAACCTGACATTCTAGATAAAACCTGCTTGTGCATTGTACTGCCTTAAATCTAGTAGGTCAGCTAAAAAGAGGCACTTTCTTTTACCACTAAAGACCTGGATTATATCCCTCAAAATACACATCACAGAGAATTTATTAAAAGCAACCTACTTTGGGATTTGTACTGCAGGTCAGAAAAAATATGCAGACTGTGCTAGCCTTTTCCTGGTATTTGTCTCTGGCTTTGTTTTTTAGCAAGTCTGTTGATTACTCTAAGCTGGTAATCTTAGGTAAAGCACAAAGTGTCTCTAGACCCTAAAACAGATTACATGAGAGCAGTTTCTTCTCATGCTAAGGACGAATACCCCACAGAGGCCTTTTGTTTTATGACATGGTTAAACATCATTATATGAATGCAGTTTCTTGCTCTGACTCATGTGTATGTATGACACTGGTAGTCTGAAAAGTAGCCTGAAAGCATAGCTGATTTTTCTGAGAACTACTGTGTTCCTCCAGAGATATGTTAATTCTTATGTCCATTATTATGAATGCCTATCATCCCAAGTAAATGAAGGGAGAGGGAATTAAATATTATCCTATTTGACCATGGAAAATCCAATTAAAACTCAGAAAGTTATGCAAAATTTAGAAAAGTACTTTCTTTATCTCACTTTGCTTTCTATTTTGATGTGTGAAACATAAAATATCCCTTGGCAGTGGTTATTGTTCATTATATCATACAAAACTAGCACTTATATCAAAAGATGTAACAATATGCACACAGCATATTTACCTCTGTGCATCTGATTCAAAGCCTGTCTGTGGAAAGAGTGTCATAAATACAGCCTAAAAACTGACTTAATATTATGAAACAAGTAAAGAAGAACATTTCTTTATCTCATCATTTTTTCTTACAAATCCAGATTCTTGGGGGGAAAATTATAATAAAAAGAGCAACTCACATTTGAAAAAATAATAATTGTAACTGCCTTATGATGAAAAAGTCACAGAATCATAGAGTAGTTTGGTTTGGGTTGGAAGGAACCATCTAGTTCCAACCTCCCTGCTATGGGCAGGGACACCTCCTACTAGACCAAGTTGTCCAGATCTCCATTCAGCCTGGCCTTGAGCACAGCTTCTCTGCCCTCTGCCTCACCACCCTTAAAGAATTTCTTCCTAATCTGTAATTTAAACCAGAGTTCATTGAATGGCTGGCACTCTGTCCTTCAGGAGTGCCTTTCTTGTGATACCTTTCTTGTCAGAACAAAAGGTTCTTCTTATTTAACTTCCCTGGAATAGAAATCACATCCACCATCTTTCAGCTTCTCTGAGTTAAGGAAAACCCAAGGAAGATGGAAACTAAACATAATGAGGTGAAACAAGGTCCAGCATTTAGTTTTCATCACAAACTCTCTGGGATTAAAGTCTTGTTAGAAAAGCAAAATGCTTTTGGACAACCACTGTGTGGTTGTCCCACAAGAACCATGTATGACAACCACTGTATAATCACTTAAGAGATTTAAATCTTATAATAGATTTGGGAAGATTTTAACTTTGTTTTATTATTGGTGAGACAATAAAAAACAGCAAGCAAGTAGTAAGTAGTAGACAGCAAAACATTCCACTGGTATCCATGTTTCAGAAAGACATGAGCAAGCTAAGTAGAGATGCTGACACTCATTAGCATTGCCAAAGACATCCAGTGGAGATGGCCAGAGACCCCTCCTAAAAAACTGATTATGTGCTCCTGATCAAACCTTTACCCCATTCAGCTCCATTCTAGAATGGAGGAGACAGACTCAGGCTTAAAACTATATGGGGAGGAGCACTGGATGTTTTCCAGTTCATATGTCAGTAACCTTCATAAAAGTTTATTCTCTAACAGCTGCTGAATTATTTTACTTCTGAACTCCCAAATTAACCATGCTATATCTACACACATATCCACAGCTGCCTGTCTTGTCAGAGGTTAATACCTCAGCCTGCCTACCTGGAATGGAAGAAGAAGGGGATTTTCCTTCACCTAAGGCACTCCCAAACACACACCTCCTTTGCAGTATGCCAGACACCTGGGGATAGACAAAGCCCTGCTGTGAATGTCACAGCAGTGCAGTTGCACGGCTTCCTTATACATCATACATCATAGACCCTACATGTACCCCACACTCACATGTAGGGTGTGTGTGACAGCCTCAAAGCCTGGTTTAGGACTGTGCTAGGCCAAGAGTCATTTCCTCAGCATTTCTGCTCCCAGCATAGAAAGTAAGAATACAGATGCTGCAGGGAGAGGGGAGTCCTCCTGCAACTTTTCCAATGGTAAACCAGTATCTATACTGCACAGATAGCAGAAAGGCTAGTGTTTTAGATGACACTTCTACATTGTGTGCAATAGCCAAATATACAGCATCCTGGAAGAGCTTACCTCCTTCAAAGCAGCCTAAGATGGAACACGCTGTTATATGCCACTCTACAACAGCCAAGCTTACCTTTAACAGAGGAAATTCATTGAACTCATGACATCCAGATGGTCCTAGCAGATGATCTATGCTGGAAGGCCCTAAAAAAAATACAGAAGTCCCTAGCATTTTGTTCTAGAAGAAATCTCCCCGCTGCCCCACTGGAAGCAGCTGGACTAATCATACATATTTAGGCAAGGAACACAGTAGGAGGATTCATTCCTGTGGACTCACATCTATCTTCATGATGCCAGCTCTGATTTTTTGGGGGGGTTTTTTGTTGATTTTATAGAAGAAATAATATTGTTTCTGGGTTTAAGACCATCAGTGCCTTCCAAGGTGACACATGCAGTATTTATATAAAGTTTGGAAAAGGCTATAGTTCTAATTAATTAGTCAAAATTACAGTGTGATGCCAGGGCCAGTGAACTAAGAGGTGTGCAGTGCTGGCATTTCACAGTGGGGAGGATGAGATGACTCCTGAAACCCGAGGCTGTGCCTTGGACCAGGAGTGCTGGCCTGTCTGGGGTGTTTCTGCAATAGCATCTCCTCTCTGTTAATTATGCCACACAGACATAATAGGAGCACGGGTGCTTCCACAAAGCAGGTCAGCACCAGCAGGGCTCAGATGAGTCACTGCCTTGTCTTGGGTACTGCATGTTTCCTTGGGCAATGAGTCTTTGAGGGAGGCAGTGTGGCTCTCCATCAGACAAGGACATAGAGCCTGAAAGGCAAGAGGGAGAGAATCAGTATGGATATGATTAATACAGTCAAGGAGCAATGCTGAAGTGGAACACAGAGCACCTGGCAGAAGACAATAAGCAGCAAATTAGTGCACTGACTTGTGCAAAGTGGTGCTGTCTGTGTCTTTAGAGCTGTTGTAATAGGCTGTCCAGCTTTATACCACACTTGCAGGAGCACTAACTGCATGATACATTCATTTTTACAACCCCTCTTTAATACTTTTTAAGCTCTGTGTACCTTGACTGCCACGATATCCTACCTGAGAACCTTTATCATTTGCTGTTCTCCTCTTCTGTCAAATTTAATCCTTTCTGCTCTCTTTATAAGGAACTCCTTTACTGAACCTTGCTATTATTTAGCTCCTCTCTGAGGGAAGACTTCAGTGCAATAAATAATCCAAAGGACATCCCAGACTCCTAATTTCTTTCCCCAAATTTGTTGGACATTCCTGATCATGGAAGAGCTCCAACCAGGCAAGTGCTTTTAATAAATTGAACTTGCAAAAGCAGGGTATGTTGATGACATTACAGGACTGAGCTCCCAGAAAATGGAAGCGTGATAAACCTCTATCATCCCTCTGCAATATACCCACATGGCTTTTTCTCTCTCTAGAAGTGGGTGAAGAAAGACAATTATATATTGGAAGTATATTCCTCCTTTCCAGAACATGACAAGAGGTATTTAAGAGATCAGCTGCAGCCTAAAACCTGGAGGTTTCTTTTATCTTGTTTGCTTTATTATGTTTGTTTTTATCTTTCTTGCTTCTTATCACTCACCTGCAAGCACTTGAGCCAGTCTCTGAATTTTGATTTGTGCATCAAAATCAGGTCAACTGAGTATGAAACAACTCCCCTATGGTGCTGTAAGACTGACCAAGTGCTCTGAAAAGTGTTAGATGATAAATACTTAGAAGTTTATACTACACAATTGTTACATACTTTTTATTGATCCCATGCACTTGGTTTAGAAATGTTTGAATGTCATTCAAATGTGTCATGAAAAGGTGCAGAAGTGCAAACTCTTTGAGTAATCAGGAAGCCTACCATGACCATTGCTTGCTAGACCTATGGAACAGCTTTAGACATATGAAACAACCAGGAACTCCTAATAACAGAGCTGCCAGTATGGGTTGCTTTCAATGTATCTATCATTACCTTTTTTCACACTATACAGGAGCAGATGCAGCAAAGTCTTGTTCTGCCACTTTCAGACAGGATGAGGAGAACTTATCCAACCTTTTTTGCAGGCAAGAAATGTTTGGCTGGGGTGGAAAAAAATGGGAACCTGTGTTCTTTCTTGGTATCCCCTCCCCATCCCTGATCTCTTTATCCCCCTCTGCTTTACATATTAACAAGTTCCTGGTCTTGGATTAGATCTCTTTAGCCAATGCATCATTCAGAGAAAATACATGTATGGTACAGAAGCAGTGCACTTTGTGGCTCTTAGAAGATCTTTGCATCCTATCTAAATAACTCTTAAATCTTCATCATGTCAGAGTACAAGGTAGGATACACAGTCACTTATTTTTGGACTTTCATATGAGCCAGAGGACTATACAAATGAAAGGTACAAGGCTGTTAGGCAGAAACTGAATTCCTTTCTCTCTGGAAGTGGTGCATGTTTCCTCAAGAATCTCTCTGCTTTGTCCTGCTGGGTGCATAGGGTCACTTGGAACAGACCAGTCAGAGTCTTTATCCTGCGGCCACATCAGAAACACCATCAGTGCCTGCCATCTCCTGTGATCAGTGAACACTTGGTTCTTGACATGGGAAATGGCCCTCAGCTAGGGACATTGGGCTTTAAGGAAAAAAATACAATCTGAATATGGTTTTTAAAGTTAATGATTATGAATCCTTTCTGATCAGTTTCCAGGACCAAAGTATCCACTTAGAAAGATAAGAAATTTTTCAGTTATCACACTTGCTTCTTCCATGACCAGACCACTGCATCCTGCTTATGTAGGGTACAGAAGTCTTGCAGTGAGAAGGTTTGTGACCTAACATAACATATGTGAAGCTTACAGCAGCCTCTACACCAATGGTGCATTGCAAAGATCTTGAAGTCCTTGGTTGCGAATGAAAGAAGACTGTGCATACCCATAACAGTGTCACTGATTCAAAAGTCAAGGTTTTCTTGTCTTATGATCTCCTAGAACCAGATGTCCATTTTAATGTGACTCACCTGCATTTATTCTGAGCTCCCTGTGTCAAGTTCTGCAGGGACTTCCTGACACAGACAGTCAGGCATGAGCCATGCAAGGCAAGTGTCACACCACTGATCAAAACTATGATATGGGGGCAAAACTAAATGAAAAATGCATTCTGGCAGAAATTTTGAAGTAAATTTTAAAACAAATAATTTTGCTAGACAGAGAAACCCAGTGTACCATTCTTGTTCTAGTTCAGAACCATTACTGAACAAGAGGGTAACATAAATATCTGGGCCATGGCATTGAATGCAACAGACTTTCAATTCAAGCTCAATTTTACCTGCAGCAATGTCCACTGAAAGGATAGTTGTCTGAGGGTGAACAAAATTGAAATAAACTTAGCCTTTAGCATCCTGCATATGCTAGATGAGGGTAAACCTAGATAAAACAAAAAATAATAATCAGCAAATTAAGCTGATGCAGCTGAATATGAGCGCAAAAAAATGGAGAGTAAGACATGGGAAATAAAGAACTGCTTTCTGCAGGGGTTGTTCTGCTTTCCTTTGCTGGATTAATTGACATGCAGCTGGGTACATCAAGAGCAAAGAGAATATTTTGATGGTTTTAGCAAGTGTTCAATACCATGAATGCTGGAAACAATGACAAAGATTCTACTTTTGGAGGCACAGACAGGTATAGACGGTCATGTCTGCTTTGCTTGGGTGCCTGCAGCTGGCTGCAGGCCAGAACCATTTAAATACATTAGCTCAGAGCTGTACATATGCTGAATGAGGCTATTCAGTTCCTGGAAGAGAGCTGGTTTGCATCTTGCCATCAGCCAGGGCAGACATAGCAAAGATGTACTTGCCTACACCATTTGTGTAGGTGCAGCTGAAAACAGCATTCAGGCTCTTGAAGAGAATTTGTGGCCTAATTTTACAAATAGATTTTTTTACACAGATGGATGATTTTTGTCTTTTTCTGACTGTTTCTGCCACAAATTTAGTCTCCTCAGGTGAGTCTTGGTTCTGACAGAGAATTTGATAATTTAGCCCAGTCAAGAGTAGCCACAAAAATTTGGCACAAACATAACTGTGTAACAATACCTACCAAAGCCATACAATAAATCTGTATTCTCCTTGGAACTCAAAAGCCCTTATTATTGTGGTGAGAACAGCTACATTAGTATAAAAGCAGTCAGTCCACATATTTAAACAAGACTAAGACTTGCTGAGCAGAAAGAGGATCAGCTAAGAGACAGCAAAAGAAGGAAATGTTAAATAGCATACTGCATCAGTGGGATGTATTTGGCCCAGCTAAAAAATGTATCTGTGTGAGGGAAGTACTTTAGCTACCTAATCTCCCTTCAAGCCATCTCCTTGCCTTGCATGGCTCTTTGTACATTTTCAACAGCAAAGAAAGTAAGGAAAAAAACAAGGCATGGTTTATGGGGGAAAAAGAATGGTAATATCTGCTACAAGAGTGACTGATAAAGTTGGAAAGATACCTAAGATTTCAAGCACACTAGGACTTTTTAAATAAATAAATAAATAAATAAAATAAATTTGCATTATTTTATTTCCCGAAATAAACCTACATGGTAACAGAGTTTATTTCGAGGCTGATAGCACAAAGATAGATAAAATTATGCTATGACATTTTGCCTGAAGTACCATCCTCTGTAGACTAAAATCTCAGACTTCACAGGGAAAGGAGTTTTGCAGGTCAGCCTTTATCTGTAGAATATAGGTCTGGCATTGCACTGGAAAAGAACAAAACTTACACAGCCCTCAAAGTTGTCAGTTGGTTTCTATTAAATAAGACAGCCTGAAATCTATCCATTTTCCTCCTGAAGAGCCAAATTTATAAGTCAAATGAGCACAAGCTACTCCAGTTGAAGAACTCAGAGGATGTATTCTGTCCTGGTTTGCATGATGATCACCTCTGAAAGAGTATTCCATTACTTCTTTATATTCATTACACTTTCCCCAGACTGAACTGGAACCATAAAGGTTAGAGAAGCAGAGAGAAACAACAAGACCACCCTTCCATATCCAGCTGTGGTAAGAATTTGGCCACTACCATTCCTAATAGAAATAAGCACTATTTTTTCATTAAGTCAAATTGCAGGAATGGGTCTGGCAAAATATCTGCAGCAACTAACATGCCCAGAGACTTGTACAAGCCAAAAAAAAAAACCAAAAAAAA